CTCATTATTCCTTCCCCGCAGTTTCTGGTAACCTCTAATCTACTTCTGTCTCTGAAAAACATTTTTTCTTTTTAATTTATTTTTTCTTAATTGACTCATGATAATTGTATATATTTATGGAGTACAATGTGATATTTGGGTACATTTATACAGTGTACAATGATCATAGGTATTTAGCATATCCATTGCCTCAAACATTTGTCACCTCTTTGTGTTGGGAACATTCAACATCCTTTCAACTAGATACTTGAAGTTATAGGGTAATTTGTTGTTGACTTCAAGTAGCTACTTGAAGTTATAGTCTCCCTATATTGCTATAGAGCACTTGATTTTATTTTTCCTCTCGCTCTACAATTTTGTATCAATCTCTCCCCTTACTAATCTCTAGTAACCACTATTCTACTCTCTACTTCTGTGAGATCAACTTTTTAAGCTCCCACATATGAGTGAGGACATGTGTTATTTCTCTTTCTGTGCCTGGCTTATTTTACTTAACATAATTTTCTTCAAGCTCATCCATGCTGCTGTGAATAGCAGAATTTCATTCTATTTTCTGGCTGAGTAGTATTCCTTTGTGTGTATTTACCACATCTTCTTTATCCAATCATCTGTTGGTGGACATTTAGGTTGGTTCCATATCTTGGATATTGTGAATAGAGCTGTGATAAACATGGGAATGTAGGTATCTCTTTGACATATTGATTTCCATTTCTCTGTAGTGGAATTGCTGGATCATATGGTAGTTCTATTTGTAGTTTTTTGAGAAACCTCTGTACTGTTTTCTGTAGTGGCCGTACTAATTTACATTTCCACCAGAAGTGTATAAGAGTTCCCCTTTCTCCACATTCTCACCAGTATTTGTTATTTTCCTTTTGATAATAGCTATTCTAACTGGAGTAAGATGATATCTCACTGTGGTTTTGATTTGCATTTCTCTGATGATTAATGATATTGAGCATTTTTTCATATACCTGTTGGCCATTTGTATGTCTGAGATTTTCTTTGTGGGCTAATATATGTTCAATTTCTGTAAATGTTTGATGGGAACTTTAAAAGCTATGTTCTCAGCTGGCCAGTTAGCTCATATGGTTAGAGCATTGTGTTTTAACACCAAGGGCAAGGGTTTGGATCCCTAAACCAGCCAGCCACCAGAAAAAAAGATAATAAAAGCTGTATTCTCAGTTTTTAGAGTTTTATCAATTAGATCTACCTTTCAAATTGTGTATTTAAGTAGTCTGTATCCTTCCTTTTGTTTTACTTAATCTGTCATAGGTTAAGAGATGTGAATTAAAGTCTACAACTATAAACGTTTCTTTCTTTTTGTCCAGTATTTTCTATAATTTCTACCTCATTAACTTTGATGCCATGTTATTTGTAGTATAGATATTTATAAGTACTCAATCTTTATTGTGGATGTACTTTATAAATATAAATTACCCTTCTTCATGAATTTTAATGTTTTGCACTAAATGAGCCTGTCCAAAATCATGATTTCTTTTAAAATGTTTTTTTGCATTTGCCTATGTGCTTTTATTTTTAATGATTGAGTTTTGCTTTGATCTGATGTGTAAGTTTTCTCTTTTATTGCTTGGATTTAGGCTCTTTACATTTATCGATTGGACATATATGTTTGGTCTTATAAAAAACATGACAGAACTTTTCTCTTTATTTTAAATCATGATATGGATTGTGTTTTCTTTGCATCATTTTAATTGTGTTTTTTATTTAATTGGGAATGTTTATATTTTTATTTTGGTTTTGTGGATATTCTTATACCTATGATTTTACATGGCAAATTTAGTCCTCTATTTCTTTTTTTTTTTTCCTTTTTGTCTTTTTTCGTGTCCGGCAACGGACCGCAACCTTGTGTCGCACCCGTACCGGACCGGGACCAGCAACGGGATCGCAACCCTCCGTGCTGCGCCCGCCCCTCGCCCAGCCAGTGAGCGGGAACCGGTCTGTATGTGGGTTCCGAACCCTTGGCGGGAGCACCGCTGCGCTCCCAAGCGGCGCACTGTAGCAGTGCGCCACCGGGCCGGCCTATAGTCCTCTATTTCTTTGGGTAGCATTTGTGATCCTCCCTATTAAACATTATCAAAATTATACTTCTACTTTCTACTACTTTTTTTTTTCACTATTCAATTTAATTTTAGATTATTTTATCTTTTAGTTCTAGTGCTTATGTGTTATACCTTTAAATGTACTTATATCTCTAACACTTGATCTTTCAGCTTTCAAAAATTTTGTTCTTTCATCCACCTTCCCTATTTCTTTCCCTTTCTCTTTCGACCCTTTTAATAGTTTATAACATTATTATTCCGTTTTGTAACTTAACCCCCACAATTGTTTTAAATGTATTTCTAGAGCTAAATGGATTTATTGCTCACTGCCAGTACTGTTTATATAGTTTCTCCATTCATCTCTTAGTTACTCATAGTTCATTCTTTAATAGTTTCCTCAAGAAGGGTGAGTGGAAATTATTCTCTGAGTTATTGCATTTTTAAAATTTCTATCTGTTACATTTATTTTGAGCAGTTTAGCTGGGTATAAAATTCTTTGTTTTATTTCCTGTAGTCTTCTATAGGCATTGCTCCTCTGACTTCTGATGTTAAGTGTTGGTATGTGGAAGTTTGAAGTCAGCAGAATCTTTTATCCTTATAGGAGAATTGATCTTTTTGACTAGATAATAAAAGGATTTTATCTCCCATGTTCACTAACTTTACTAGGTTATGTAGACATGGTTGAATTCTCATGATTCATAGATCTATTTCTTATTTCTGGCCATTTTTCTTGAATTATATCTCCAATTTTTTTTATTTTCCATTTTTTTGGTTCTGTTAAATGACAACAATTATCTTTATGTTAGATTTCCTTTGTTTGTCTTATATACTTATTATTTTCTAATTTTCCTAAACTTTTGTTGATTTCTACTTCATTTTGCCTATTTTCTCGGTCTGATCCTTTAAAAGTATTATTGGGTTGTTAATGGTGTCTCTTCTGCCTTGGGCTGTTTATAGCTTTCTTTGATGGAATGGTTTTGGAAAGCCTGTACTTTTAGCTTGCTCAACTGGAATCCTGGTAAGCAAGTAGCTAGAGTTGTAAGAAGAAATCTTTGAGAGAAGGGACAGATGCTTTTCACCATCTTCTAAGTTGGCCGTTTGGTCATATTCCTATTTCATATTGTATTCCAGGTAATCAAAATTCATATTGTATTCCAGATAATCAAGATTCATATTGTATTACAGATAATCAAAATTCCCTTTTGAAGTTTTGCTTTTTTTTCTTTCTTATCCATTCATCTAAATTCTATGCAATAGTTCTTTTATGTTAATTTGAATGTGTATTGTTATGATTTTTTTTTAATTTGTGGATTTAAAAATAAATATTTTAGGGATTATTTGGTTCTGATATATGAAAGAAGGATTATAAAATTGTCTCTTTGCTCCCAGAGCACATTGAGTGTTCTTTTCCCTAAGGAAGAATTAGGAATAAATCCCGTGTAAATGGTTTACAAGGCTTTGTGATATTTTATTAAGTGCAAATATTATGTGACAGTTGAAGGGAAATATGCAAAGCTGAGAAAAATATAAATTTGGACAGTCTTTGGATATGTCCTTTTAAAAAAATTATATGTAGATATGGTAGATGCTTTTTCTTTGATCAATATGCCTCTTAGGCCATGGGTGTTGTGTTCCCTCTTAATTCTTATATACATTATGGAATAGCTTTTGCTACTGTGCTGATTGCATGCTGGTGGTCAAAGGTTTGAGGAGCACTTCTAACCAAGTTCAGGTCACCCACTCAACCCATTTGGCTCTTGGGAAATCGCAAGGGATTCTAGTCATTGCTTTGGACCTTTGGGGGGTGGAGTTGGGGATTGGGGAGAGTTTCTAGTAAAGACCCAAAAATCTACTTGACAAATTCTAAAAGAGCTGTAGCACTCACTTTGGACCCTTTAGGATGACATGGTTCAAAGAAATTGTGGCCACAGGCCTTAAGAACTTGGGCAGTGACTGACTTTGCCCACATAATTTCTTGTCATTTAGCTGTTTTTCCCAGTGAGTGTTCATCAGGGTCTTACTCTATGATATATTTATTATCTGTTTGTTTGGTATATGTGTGTAAGTCTCTATTCATGAGAAATAAGAAAAGGAAAAGACCATTTTTCTGGGAGACAGCAACTGGAATCTTAAGATTCTTAAGCCTGTGGGAGAGCGTCTCTTCTCTTATTGTGTTTTGTAAGGTTCTTCTTGTGTAGTTAGGCCAGGAGCAGTAGTGGTAGCAGTATGTGCCATTATTGATCTCTTATACTGTACCATGTGCTGGGCTAAGTGTCTTTTTATACCTTATCTCTTTTTTTTTTTTTTTTTTTTTTTTTTTTTGTCTTTTTTGTC